TTGCTGAAATTTTCTTCAAAACTTCTTTTTAGGGTGAAGAAACAGTGGAAGTAATTTCAGCTAAGATACTCTAAAAGTTGTTTTAAAAAAATATTTTCTCAGGAGAATTAATTTTTTTATGTTTAAAAAAATGTATCTCATCTCCTAGACATACGAAATAGCTGAAATTTTCTTCCAAACTTCTTTTTAGAGTGAAGAAACAGTCGAAGTAATTTCAGCCAAGATACTCTAAAAGTTTAGTTGTAAAAAAATATTTTCTCGGGAGAATATTTTTTTGTTTAAAAAGCTGTATCTCATGCTGAAACATGCTGAAATTTTCCTCAAAACTTCTTTTTAAGGTGAACAAATACCGGAAGTAATTTCAGCCAAGATACTCTCATAGTTTAGTTGTAAAAAAATATTTTCTGTTTTTTTTTTTTGTTTAAAAAGCTGTATCTCATCTCCTAGACATACGATATTGCTGAAATTTTCCTCGCCACTTCTTTTTAGGGTGAAGAAATAGTGGAAGTAATTTCAGCCAAGATACTCTAATAATTTAGTTGTACAAAAAAATTTTCTCGGGAGAATATTTTTTTGTTTAAAAAGCTGTATCTCATCTCCTAGACATACGATATTGCTGAAATTTTCTTCAAAACTTCTTTTTAGGGTGAAGAAACAGTGGAAGTAATTTCAGCCAAGATACTCTAAAAGTTTAGTTTCAAAAAAAAATTTTTCTCAGGAGAATATTTTTTTTTGTTCAAAATGCTGTATCTCATCTCCTAGACATACAAAATTGCTGAAATTTTCTTCAAAACTTCTTTTTAGGGTGAAAAAACAGTGCAAATAATTTCAGCCAAGATACTTTAATAGTTTAGTTGTAAAAAAATATTTTCTCGGGAGAATATTTTTTTGCTTAAAAAGCTGTATCTCATCTCCTAGACATACGATATTGCTGAAATTTTCTTCAAAATTTCTTTTTAGGGTGAAGAAACAGTCGAAGTAATTTCAGCCAAGATACTCTAAAAGTTTAGTTTTAAAAAAATATTTTCTCAGGAGCATATTTTTTTTTGTTTATAAAGCTGTATCTCATGTCCTAGACATACGAAATTGCTGAAATTTTCTTCAAAACTTCTTTTTAGGGTGAAGAAACAGTGGAAGTAATTTCAGCCAAGATACTCTAATAGTTTAGTTGTAAAAAAATATTTTCTCGGGAGAATATTTTTTTTTTGTTTAAAAAGCTGTATCTCATCTCCTAGACATACGATATTGCTGAAATTTTCCTCGCCACTTCTTTTTAGGGTGAAGAAATAGTGGAACTTATTTCAGCCAAGATACTCTAATAGTTTAGTTGTAAAAAAATATTTTCTCTCAGGAGAAAGATTATTTATTTTTTAAAAAAGCTGTATCTCATCTCCTACACATACGAAATTGCTGAAATTTTCCCCAGAACTTCTTTTTAGGGTGAAGAAATAGTGGGTGTTATGTCAGCCAAGATACTCTAATAGTTTAGTTGAAATAAAAAAATATTTTGTCTCAAGAGAATGTCGGCTGCTGGTTTCAGTTTCAACAATTTATTAAAATTATATTTTTAGGAGAGTAGATAAAGGTACCTAAACTTGTCACGTTAATTTTTAATATTATTTGTAATTTCGCAACGAAAAATTCTAATTTTTAAAAAATATAGGGCGCGGACCCTATCTTCTATGTTTCGTCCATGTCGGCTGCTAGCTGGTGGCTGCTAGTTTCAGTTTGATTTAATACACTCGAGAGCAAAGAATCCGGGTCACTTAAAGAATCGTGAAAATCTCGCAAACAATAAATTCTAATTAATAGACAATTGAATACTCCTTAAATGAAGATATTAAAACTTCTTAGTTATTAAAAAAGTTTTATCATAAAAAAAATCTAATTAGAAAAAGGGAGACTTTCGAAGATGGAACTACGAAATTACTCCATTTATTTCTAATTTGTCATTTATCATTCATATAAATTTGAGGACGAGGTGTATAGAAGAATTCAGCTAGGTTGGGCAGCATTTGGGAAGCTACGTCAAGTCCTGACACGATGTCAGTGCCCACAGATCCCACAGTGCCTAAAGACGAAAGTCTTCAATCAGTGCGTCCTACCTGTGATGACATACGGATCCGAGAGGTGGACACTGACGCTACGGTTGGTCCACAGGTTCAAAGTCGCTCAGCGCGCTATGGAAAGGGCTATGCTCGGCGTTTCTCAGAAGGATCGCATCAGAAATGCGGTAATCCAACAGAGAACCAGAGTTATCGACATAGCCCACCGTCAATTGTTTGGTCAAAAGTTATGTTTTCCAACGAATCAAAATGAAAAAGTAGCCTACGGTGGTGGGTCCGTACTTGTGTGGGCCGGAATTCTTCTGAGAGTCGCACCGAACTGGTATTCATAGAAAACGGCTCTTTAACTAGCGAAAGATATGTGGAAAAAATTTTAAATGAACGCGTTGGTCCATTTATGGTCAATTTGGGTGAGGATGTTTTTTTTATGCATGACAATGCCCAACCTCATACAGGTTGGATTGTGAATGACTTCAAGAGGTGAACATTACTCGTATGGAGTGGCCAGCACGCAGCCCGGATATCAACCCGATCGAGCATGCTTGGGATGAGCTAGGGAGACGCTTAAAACAACGAAACCCTCCGCCAATTACGCTTCGTGAGCTCAAAATTGCTCTCACAGAGGAATTGGAGAATATTCCCCAAAATCGTATAAAAAACTTGATGTACAGCATGCCAAACCGAGTAAAGCAGGAGGATAGGATAATGGAAGTACGAGGAGGCAATACGAAGTACTAAATTTCAAGAAAATCTTAATGTTGTTCAAAAATGTCATGTTTCCTATTTTTGTTTTAAGACGAGATCTGCCAGTTTTTTCGTTTATGTCCTTTTTTGTATATTTACAAAATGGCATCTTATTAGATGTGACTCATAAATTTTATTGCTTTCATTTAAGGAGTATTTAATTGTCTAGTAATCACTATTTATTTCATTAACCTAGCATTCTTAGTTTGAGAGATTTAAGTGACCCGAATTCATTGCTCGCGAGTGTATTTTTGTATAAAAATAAACACTCTTTGCCGAATAGTTTTTTAATTAATTTTAATTCGTCCCCATAAATTTCCTTACTAAAATAGCTTTTTTTGTGCTTTTTTTGGGTACAAATGATCAAATCGACACGCATACCGTGTCTGTTGTAGATTTTGGTGCAACTTGTTGATTTCATAGCGCTATAGTACGAAATTTAACGCGATTTGTTGCAACTTCAATAGAGTTTTCGATAGAATTCAGAAATTCGAACCGATCTGCATACTCAACTTATTTTCTGAACTACATGGCAAATGTTACGTATTGGTGTGTACCTCCACATGTGAACTTTGCTTGCGAACCACACAAACCGCCACATAAAGATATGATTGTCACACACAAAATATATTTTTACTCATTCTATGCTCCTGTCTTGGTTTTTTTGATAACTTGTGTTTCAAAGAAACTAGAAGCACTCAAAACTGCCAAAAATAGACAAATTTTTATAACCACTAAAAAAGTCTAGTGTGGAAATGATTTCTTATTATTGTACTTGGGGGCATACGAGCAGACAGCTCACCTGATGTTAAGTGATCACCGTCGCCCATGGACACTTTCAACACCGGAAGTATCACAAATGAGATGCCGGCCTTTAAGAAAGGAGTACGCTCTTTGTTTGAAGGTTTTTGGGTCGTATAGGTCCGGAAACACTATTTTACATATATCTAATTTTAGAGGAGGAAATCGTCGAGACCCCAACCTCAAATTTTGCTATTCTTATACGCAATTTTCAGCGTTAGCTACTGTTGTCTCTAATAGTTTTTTTCAAATATCTATTCCTCAAATGTCCGCCTTGCGTCTGCTCTTACGAGCAATGAACGTGTCAACTACTAGAATACATTACAGTTTGCGACGCATTTTCATATGGAATTGGATTAGTTTGAAAACAATTATTTTTAAATAACGAAATTATATTATTTACAATAATTTATTACATCAAAAGTCAGTCATACAAGCAACACGATTTAAAAGATCATACTTACAAAAATTGTTTGAATTACATTTAAAACAGTGTCTTACTTTCTTGTTGCCCAAATATTTAAGAAAATTAAAAGTACACATAGCTCGTGAATTTATTGAATTTTAATTTTATTTCTTTATTTTATAAAATTCTTTGTCCAAAATAGCAAATATATTGTAACAAGAAATTAATCTTCATATAAAATGCTTTCTGCAAATATTTGCGCTTGTGATTAATAGGATGAAGAAGAGCAAAGCTCTCCATCAGAAGGATAGCAATAAATGTTAAAGGAAAAGCACTTCCTTCACGAGGCAAATTCACAAAGTTAATATCTCACAAATCAATTAAGCTTTGGAGAGTAGGTAGTACCTTGACGCGCTACATTGATTTATATTAAAAACGTAGGAACTTTCTTCATGGCTATTACATCTTAGGTTCGTTTTCCTTGTACATAAGGCACTGTTAAATAACTTATTTTATGGGAAACTATCGATACGCGAGTACAAAATGGATGAATAAATTTACTGATTTGCAGCGATTCCAGTACCGTTACTTTTGTAACATTTTGTTTGTGTTACTATTGGTTCTGCAGCGTTACCTTCGTTCATTTGCGTTCCTTTTTAATTGAAAGACAATATATAAAAAATACACTAAATGCCAAATTACGTTTAACAGGAAATGATGTGATTTCTTCTTTTCTCTTGGCTCTTTTTGCTGTCAATGTGGACATTCGTAGGTCGTTAGGACAATACAATAAGTCAAAATTCTAGAAGATATTCTGACAGTTTTATCTTACAACTAAGGTAAATAAATTTTGTTTTTTACAAACCATTAATAAAAGCAAATGAAAAGAAACCACTATCTTTAAACAAAAAAACTAAAGATAGGTATCCTTAATAAAGTAATAAATAAAATAATAAACTAACGCAATTATTTTATCGTCTTACCAGGTTTTGCTTCAGTCTCGAAGTCCAGAGGTGCTTCTGTCGCTTCTTCTATGCAGCTTTGCTCGTCCGGGAACTGCACATGTTTCTTTACCCCAGAACGACTCGGCTTCGATAGCACAGACGCTGAAAAATTATTATTTGTTACTGTTGGCAAACTATTGACTGTTGCATTGACACTATCGAACGCTTGATAATATCTCCCAGTGAGCTAAACTATGACACTAGTGTAAACTAAAAAAAGAAAAAAGAAAAGGTTATTATTGCGCCTTTGCATTGTGATTCTTTAATTGTCACATTGGCAATTACACTATTGTCAATCGAATTTCCTGTTAACTAATTCTATCCATTAATTTTCACTATAGATAACATGTTTCTAATCGTCTACTCTTTGTTCGAAGCTTTTATGTAGCGTAAACTCCGTTGTGAATAAATACTAACTGATAGCTTTTGTAGGTACTTCGGAGAATTCTTCTGGATCATGGCGACTCGGCAGGGGTTTACCAGCGGAACGTCGGCGGCCGCTCGGTAAAGAACTAGTGGTAGTCGTGTGCTGTCCTGTGGCTGTATATTGCACTGTAGCTAACTATGACAAATGAAATATAGTCAAAATTTATAAAAATGTAAACATAATACAACTCCTTTGATTCGTCCATATTTGTTTTCCCTATCGCCTGTTAAGGATTTTATTTTAACTGGAGAAAAAATGGGTCAGATAAACTTCACAGCGTTAAATGAATGTTTACAAAACTGTTAAGGATTTTATATTAACTGGGGAAAAAATGGGTCAGATAAACTTCACAGCGTTAAATGAATGTTTACAAAATATTATACTGTTATACCGGCCATACACACTACGAGAAATCGTTACGATTAGACTGTACAGTCCGAACGGTACCGATAAATCGTAGCGTGTATGTTATAAAACTGCACAGTTTCCTATACTAAACGAAATCGTATAAACTGTTCCGTTCGAACTATACAGTCTGATCGTAACGATTTCTCGTAGTGTGTATGACCGGTATTACGGTGTTAATCTTATATAATATCATGTCATCTTTATCATAATTATAGAAACAGCCCGTAGGAACGTTTGGACCAGTTTAAATCCAAGCATTTTTGCCTGAAATATATTCAGACAATTAAAATGGCCCCATATCGCCAAAAAACTGAAACGGTTAAAAAACAAATTATCTTCGTTGAATTATTTTTAAAAGACAGTTTGACGAGCTCCGTGCCTGAATGGTTTGTACACCGGGTTTCATGGTGTCGCCGACTCAAGACATTACACTATGGCACTCATATTTATTTCCCCAATAACATTAGGACAAAGAACCGATTTTTATTGACTGTACCACATTACTAGAATATGTCGATATCGACAGCTCAAATAAGTAGGTGTACACTTCACTAACGTATAAAAGTCTGCTGGGATGTGACATTAGTGCTTTGTGTCAATTTGTGGAACTAAATTCATAGAGAAAATTGAGTGATTTCTGTCTTTGACTAGTATATAGCGATCTATGATTTTAAATATATTTTATACTACCTTCAACAAAAGCCGTTAATGAGCTGAAGCACCGGAACTATGAGTAAATATTGCCACAAATAAGTTATTAAAAATGTATAGCAGTATATGTGCAGCTAATAAAATATAGGGCAATCAAATTTTTTATCTATCAAATGGCTAGCTTGACAAAAGGCGCGAACCCTCTTTAATATGTTAACAGTTTGTAATAGCCCAGCGTTGATTCGATTTGTACCACTCACCCTGTCTGAGTAGTCAAACGCTGTTGTCCCTCGGCCCTCGAGATATTCTTGGAACTGCGAAATAACGCACACCATTGCGTAAATCTGTGGACAAGTTATAAAAGTTTGCTAAGAAAAATAAAGCAAGAATATTCAAGTACCTTTAGACTAAAAAAACATAACTTTTTAAGACTTAAAGGTAGGAGTTTTGAAAATTTACTGTAATAATCAGTAATTTTTCAGTAATTTGTGCTTTTTATTTGTTATCGAAAAACAGGTAATTTCCCAACTAGCCATTTTGATTTTATTCTTGAGCAAGATTTTAAATCTTAGTGGTGAAACCGAAGTTATTATAAAATTACACATGCTAAAGTTATTTTACACGAATTTCAATTAAATTTAATTTGAAATAAAATTTTTAAAGTTTAATTTACCATGACAATGATAAAAAGTAGATAAAATAATTTTATTTTTTTAATCGTGTTCCAATGATTTTTAGCCTATCCGCCTTCGAAGGCCAATTACAACAAAAATAGGCTAATTAAGTACTATTTTTTTATGATTTTTGGTATTTAAGAAGCATGTGGAGTTTTTAAACTTAACCAGAAGCTATGGAAACTCCTTTTTGTATTTTTAAATTGAAGTTGGATGTTTGAGTAAATCCTACTAAAAGCTATAGTTCCAAATTTTAAGCCTTTTTTGAGTAACTTTAACTAATTTCAGGAAGCTGAGTTATTTTTTTTTATTAAAGCAACATTTAAGACAATTATGTCACAAAAAAAAGACTGCAAAATACCGACTATGAAAAAAGATATGAATTTTTGAAACTTCGCTGGCAGAAATCATTAAAAATACACAAAAAAATATAACTCGAAATCTAAGAAAAATCGTGGAACATACATGGGGTATTTTAGGATACATCCAGGTGCGACGAAAATTGTTGACGTCACTAGTTGGACCACCCTGTATATTGCGACTGTAAATTGAGATATAGCTATCCTACCTTTCAAGTTGGATCAATCTGCACGCGGTGTGCAAATTTGATTAAAACCAGTTTAGTAGTTTAGGATTCCATCCCGGACTAACAACGTGACGCGTAATTTATATGTATTAAGATTTATCTATCAGGTTCTTTGCTTTGCCGGTCGTTACCGCGGCACGCTCGCTTTGCTCGCCCGGCTCGCGATAAGTTTTGGTCACAACTCTAACTTAAACTAACCCACGGTGAGTTGGTCAAATGTTCATTGGGCTGTAGTTCATTCTGTGAGACTTATAAAATCCGTCCGTAATTTTATATCCAACTGGGTAGCTTTGGTTAGGATAAATACAGGCCAAATCTGTTTTTTACACAATCCCGGTGGGCCAGCGGGTGTTCTAAACAATCCCTAGGAATTGTTAACATTACCTAGGCAAGGTATAAAATGGAAAATAATATTAATACTTTTCTTTATTTTACTTGGACATTTGATCAGTCGGTGTGCCCAGTATCTCCATTTAACTGTAACGGATCGCTTAAACTTTGTAAGTTTATCCACCTTCCTTCGGTCTCATACAGACATCACTCCTATATAACCATGGACAATGGTTGTCATCGGTTTTGATATATCTACTTGTATAAACAACTAATTAAATCAAATAATATATTTTTCCCTATACGTTGTACCTTTAGCTGTTTTGTGTTTAAGACATAGCATCCTGCTATTCCATATCACTCCCTTCCTTACTTTAACATGGAACAGGGTAAATAAAGTAAACTACTCGAACAAAATTTAGAACTTAGGTCAAGTCTTAGGTATTTTAAAGGGCCTATTCAACGATACCCCACATAATGGGGTAGACGATGAAAAATTTCAATCATCTCTAAAAGAGCGTTAAAGGCCGGCATCGCATTTGTGATACTCCTGGTGTTGCAAGCGTCCATGGGCGACGGTGGTCACTTACCATCAGGTGAGCCGTCTGCTCGTATGCCTATTACATAAAAAACATAAAAAAAAAATATGTGGGGGAGAACCCTTAAAAAAATATTTTTCGTAATTTTATTCTACCATTTTGTCGGCATGATTGATATACATATCTCCACAAAATTACAGCTCCCTAGTGCTTATAGTTTCCAGCAAAACCAAGAACGGACGGACAGACAGACAGACATGAAACTATAAGGGTTCTTTGTCAGAACTACGGAACCCTAACTAAACTTAAAGGCGCTTCCAATTATAGAGACTGGAGTTTTCAGGTGAAGAATTTTATTAATTTTCGAAAACCTATGGTACAGTGCGTCCGTTGAACAGAAATCCCGTAAATAGGCAAAAGCTCGCTCGAGGGTATGTCTGACAGTAAATAAATCATGTTATGCTCATATCATACAAGCGAAAACCACGAAAGAGGTATGGGAGTCTCTGCAAAGAGAATATGACGACAGGGGGTTACACAGGAGGTTAAGCTACTACGTAACTTGTGTTCTATCAAGTTGGTTAATTTTGATAATATTGAATAATACGTGAACGAGATTCTATGTATTTCAGATCAATTACGAAGTATGAATAGACTTTTTGATGTTGAATTCCTTGTTGCCATTTCTTAAACTAACCCACAGTGCTGCCATCATGCTACAGGGTTTGACAAAGAAGTATGAGCCTATGATTATGGCGTTGGATAATTCTGGCGTAGGGATCTCGACTGACATGGTTAAACAGAAAATGCTACAAGACAATGATGGAAAAACAGCGTAAATGCTGGTAATGGCTGTTTGTTGATACGCGTGCGTGTTGAGAACAAGTACAGTACATTCGACTTCAAGCGAACTGATAACAGACCTGCTACATCGAAAGATACTGATTCGTCAAATAAGGGTAAAAAGCTGTGGATATGTCAAAATGTGAGATGTAAGCGGTTTGGGATATATTAAGCTATTGCATCGCTTTTATCGCGGGCTTTGAGCGCGTCGACCGAATCAAGAAATTCCGTAACGAAAATAAATCTAACACTGCCGGCCTCCGGCCGGACTCCGCGGTGCGGCGTTGAAAGCCGTGCACCGACTAAGGTCGTTTCAGTTCGGCAGACTTCGACATGGTGTTGGAGTGCGTGCGACTAGACGTATGCGTGTAGACTACCTGCTAACTGCTCATAACTGATTCTATCTCTTTTAGACACAATGCTAGGCTCCACGAGTGAGTTCGATACCGCGACTAGTAAATTTGTAAGAAATAATCTCGAAAATTTTAACTACACCAATTTTGATGAATTTTACTCGCATAATGATATTATTTTTGATGAGCATTACTACAAACATCAGCTTCGCTGATAAAAAAACAAAGTGGTTGACAACTTTTCTTTCGGAAAAAAATAATTTGAAAATGAATAATGATCCACAAGAATCCACAACAAAATATGGGACCACCATTGACGCCATTTCCAGATATTTAGAGGATATCAAGTATCAAACTTATGTTTCTTATTTCAGTTACCATAAACCTATAGTTTCAATGATAAAAAATCCTGAATAACCTACATGTATTGTAAGATAATAAAAATATTTTCTTCTCATTTATACAATAAAAGAAAAAAAAATGTTTTCTTATCGGTCACCACGCTCAAAAAGTGTAACTTGAATTAATATTAAAGAAAAAAAATACTGCATAAATAAAATCCCGTAAATAGGCAAAAGCTCGCTCGAGGGTATGTCTGACAGTAAATAAATCATGTTATGCTCATATCATACAAGCGAAAACCGCGAAAGAGGTATGGGAGTCTCTGCAAAGAGAATATGACGACAGGGGGTTACACAGGAGGTTGAAGCTACTACGTAACTTGTGTTCTATCAAGTTGGTTAATTTTGATAATATTGAATAATACGTGAACGAGATTCTATGTATTTCAGATCAATTACGAAGTATGAATAGACTTTTTGATGTTGAATTCCTTGTTGCCATTTCTTAAACTAACCCACAGTGCTGCCATCATGCTACAGGGTTTGACAAAGAAGTATGAGCCTATGATTATGGCGTTGGATAATTCTGGCGTAGGGATCTCGACTGACATGGTCAAACAGAAAATGCTACAAGACAATGATGAGAAAACAGCGTAAATGCTGGTAATGGCTGTTTGTTGATACGCGTGCGTGTTGAGAACAAGTACAGTACATTCGACTTCAAGCGAACTGATAACAGACCTGCTACATCGAAAGATACTGATTCGTCAAATAAGGGTAAAAAGCTGTGGATATGTCAAAATGTGAGATGTAAGCGGTTTGGGATATATTAAGCTATTGCATCGCTTTTATCGCGGGCTTTGAGCGCGTCGACCGACTCAAGAAATTCCGTAACGAAAATAAATCTAACACTGCCGGCCTCCGGCCGGACTCCGGCCGGCACAGCGGTGCGGCGTTGAAAGCCGTGCACCGACTAAGGTCGTTTCAGTTCGGCAGACTTCGACACGGTGTTGGAGTGCGTGCGACTAGACGTATGCGTGTAGACTACCTGCTAACTGCTCATAACTGATTCTATCTCTTTTAGACACAATGCTAGGCTCCACGAGTGAGTTCGATACCGCGACTAGTAAATTTGTAAGAAATAATCTCGAAAATTTTAACTACACCAATTTTGATGAATTTTACTCGCATAATGATATTATTTTTGATGAGCATTACTACAAACATCAGCTTCGCTGATAAAAAAACAAAGTGGTTGACAACTTTTCTTTCGGAAAAAAATAATTTGAAAATGAATAATGATCCACAAGAATCCACAACAAAATATGGGACCACCATTGACGCCATTTCCAGATATTTAGAGGATATCAAGTTTCAAACTTATGTTTCTTATTTCAGTTACCATAAACCTATAGTTTCAATGATAAAAAATCCTGAATAACCTACATGTATTGTAAGATAATAAAAATATTTTCTTCTCATTTATACAATAAAAGAAAAAAAAATGTTTTCTTATCGGTCACCACGCTCAAAAAGTGTAACTTGAATTAATATTAAAGAAAAAAAATACTGCATAAATAAAATAAATAAATAATTATAATTGCATAAGTTAATAAAAAATGCTATGCAATAGCTTTACCGCGGCAGTCCCCAAGTGCCACACGTATTTTTTATTTTT